ACAAATTGATAAACATAAACAATTATATATATTTGAAAGCATTCTTACTTTACAGCATTTTTTCACACTGCTTAAAACTTTTGCACAGTACTGTATATTATAAGTATATTTATTTCAAATACTGTAAGTAAAGTGGAGTTCAATAGGATTTACTCTCTAATGAGTTTAAGATTTTAGGTTTAAAAAGCTTAAATGTTACTGCTTTAGATGGGTCATACCTATTGAATTGAGTTTGGATATTTGTGAAATATGTGAGATGAATTTCTTGGCTATGCTTATCCAAGAAATTCATAGGTACATACTTTTTAGGGGATATATTACAGGGACTGTGCTGCCAATGTCCACTTTTATACAGCCCTACCAGAAAGTGTTTATTTCTTTTACATTATTTACTAAACCTCTGTAAATCTAAATCAGTAGCCAGGGTTAGTAGTCAGCATTGGTCTAAAAGGCAAATAAATTATTTATTAGAACCAATCTGATTTAATATATTGCTCAGAAATAACTATAGGCAGGAAATACCTGGAACAACTAAAGAAATAATTGTTGGATCGGATAAACAGACAATTCTTCATGCCATGTTAAATAATCAATTTAAATAATCAAAATAATCAATGGATTAGATTCAGTTTTCTTGCCAGGAGAAGAACAGCTTCACACATTTGTGGACCAAATTGAAATGAATTAAAAGCTTTCTATGTGAAAATGCCAGGAGGCAATTTCTGTTGATCTTCCTATTTCCCATGCTGTTTCAGAGTTTCTCCCATACTGTACTCCCATGCTGTACTCAAGAAGCATAGGGGAAGCAAACTTATATTCATCCATTTAAAGGATCCCTACAAAACAGAGATTTCAGAATACTAAGCCAATCTTGTTGCAAAGGTTTTTTTTTAATTATTCAGTATATTTTGTACAGTATTCAGTATATTTTGCCATGTACAAAACTATGCTAAAAATTAATATATTAAATCACTTTAATATAGTTAAAGATAATAAAAAATGAATGCTTTTTAAAGAAATCTCCCATGTTTGTTGACATTTTGTTTGGGGTTCTTTGAAAATTTATCAGGATTTCTTTGGTTGCAGCTTGACCATCATAGTCATCTTCTATAACACACATGCAGTGATTTAATAGGACAGTTCAGATGAAATACAGGTAGTGTTCATTTAGCAACCACAATTGGGACCAGCAACTCGGTCATTAAACAAAGCTGTCGCTAAGTGAAAATCACATGACCACAACTATGCTTACAATTTTACTACAGTTTTCCTTTGCTTCTTGTTACTTCCTTTAGCTGAAATGCGGTTCTTTCTCTTTCTTTTTGAGGACATCTTGGTGTGGGGTAAATAAGCAAGTGAAAGTAAGAGCAGAGAGACACTGCAAATTTCATAAATGCAAGGACTGGTTGCTAAGTTGTTTTTTTTAGCACTGTTGTAACTTCAGATGGTCCCTAAACAAGGCAGTCATTAAGCGAGGACTACTTATAATGCTTTATCCCTTGTGAACTGAACATATACTTAAAATATTCCTAGAATCTACTAAAACGAACAGCATTAGGTGGATGTCTTAATTAAAATAAGATTGACCTTTTACCAACAAAGAGTAGAGCTATCAAGTCTATGATGCAAAAATCTGGACAACCACTAAATGGGAAGAAAGAGAGAGAGGGAAAAAACAATCCTTTGCTGCCACCTAGTGGTTGTCCAGATTTCTGCAATATATTTAAAGTGTAAGGCCAGAATGTGCCCTGCTGTGTTGCATTAAGGTACACCAAAGGCAAAAGGCAAAGTAAATTAAAGCATATTATAATAGGATTCAGAATCCCCTTGATTCAACTTGGATTTCTTAATCGTGGCTTATTGCCAAGTTCATACAAAAAAGAGGGAAATTAAGCATCTACGCATAAGAAATTATTTCCAAAAAACTACACATCCAATTAACACTTCCCCAAAAAGTTCCTCTTAGCTAAATTATGGAAACACTGCTGTCTCCAAAAAATGTTACTTGATTAATGCATAAAATCTGTGAGGGATTAGCTATGATACTTTGCTTTTTAAGATCAGCTGATTAGACAAGAAAACATTGAGAAATATTGACATATGAGGCCATCTCAAGATATTCAGGGTAAAGTAAAATGCAGGATAGCATCTTGTACCATTTCATAACCGGTGTGGCAGTTAAATCTTGCTTCAGTACTGGCAGTAAGACAGAATCCTCCATCGTGCTTGAAGATACAAGCTAAGAGATCTGTATTAATATGCCATTTAACTCACACTTCTGTGCTTGCTTGCTTGATTTATTTATGATATTTGTGTATTGCTTCATATGCTAAAGCATTTTGAAAGCAGATTACAATAAAAATAGAAAATATATAGTTGAAAAGATGAAAGTTGCTTTAAGCATATTTAGTCCTGACTGAACAATAACCAAAGACATGTAGCATACATTGTCTTGATCACTAGATCCAGGACCAAGAAAACATAAGTCATGTCTTCTTTATGTATCAGCTTGCTTATTTCTCATCCACCCCAGTGTTGCCCTAGACATCACTGCAGGATCTATAATGGGGCCACGTGTTTTTTTTTTTAGTGCACTGCAATATTTTTTTTTTCAAATAGAATTGCTGCTCAGAATACATATAGCAAAGTACAGTACAAAAGTACAGTAAGTATGGGCAAAAAGATGCTGTCTTTTCAATGTGTTGACACAGATCCCTTGTAAAAATTACACAAGATCAATGGAACCTATGCCTTGAATCCCTGTTGTTTAATCATGGGCCAAAAACTGTCAGATCCATGATTGTGACAGATATGAAGATGTGATCTCAGATTTGATTGTGGAGTAATTCAGATATACTGTATAAAATCATGTGAATCCAAGCCTTATGTTTCTTGCACCACAAATGTACCAAAAACTGCCAGATTGGCCAGACTGATGAAATTTGTGTTTTAATTGTGATTTTATGTGAATTTATTTATTTATCGTATCCTATATAAAACCCAAGCATCAGATCCAACAACATAAAAAAACCTTTGGATCCATGATAGTTCATTACTAGCACAGATGTGGTTTGTGATAGTGGTTTGTGTGGATTCCATTTAAAAATCATGCAAAATCAAGAAGATCTGAGTTTTAAAGCCATTAATGTAACATTGACCTCTTGGTGTAAAAATGGTCAGATCAATGTTAGGGTTCAGTGCATGTATGCAGACTAGAAATTAAGCTCTATTGAGAGAGTTTGAAGGAACTGGGTATGCTCAGCCTTGAGAAC